GTCGTCTGCTAGGTTAAAGAGAACATCTGATTTACCATGACAAGGTTGTGAACCCCTACCAAGAGGGTAGGGATTAAGAGCAAAGTTGGATTGTCTTAAATAATATGGAGTTACCATATAATATCTAATAAATGCCCCTGGTATTTATTTAATATATTGAACATGCATCTTTTTTTGAAAAAAAAAGCGGCTTCTGCTACAGTTATATAGACCAGAACTCCTTCACAACAGTTGAGATTGTCCAACATGAGTAAGAGATTGGAAACACTGGATAAGCCCAGATGAAAAAATTAAAAGCCGCTTCATTACAAATTTTTCTTAGAAAAAAAGACAAGAATGCTTCAAAAACTGATGATGGAAAACGGGTTCTTTAGCTCTTGATGCTTGTGAGTAAAGGATTTCTTGAATTAAGATAATTTTGATAATTATTTGAACCACTCCCCTTCAGCTACTAATAAAAAAGACCAGCCATCATTTACTTCAAACTTTTTTTTGACACCTGGCCTTTTTTTTAGAGACATCATACCTGCATTGGAGACCATATGTTCAATGGTACAGTATATTGGAGAAAATAAAGTATTGTACTAGGATTTTACCTAGTTGAACTTTTCGAGTTTTATGACCTTAAAACTTGGATCTTAGCTTTTGAGCATTAAATTATTAATGAATGAGAAAAAATGATGCAAGCCAGGGGGGGGGGGGGGTTGAAAACAAACAGCCTTATAGGTGAATTTTTGTTACCCTGAGAAAAATAAATATTTTCTTCCGATTTTCACCCGCATAATACAGTCATTTTTTTTTAAATCCTTCTTCAGATTACACAAAATTCGCAACAAAAAAGAGGGTTAAATTGGCTGCTGATGGTTTCGAGAGAATATAACCAACCTCCGTCAATCTCCAACACGTTCTGTCCTGCGATTCCCGAATCAGAGAGTATTGCTTTCCAGTCATTACTTGCACCGCCGCCAGCAACAAAAGGCGGTCTTTGGTTTGCGCTGGGATTACTGACAGTCGCCTGCTGCTGCTGCTGGAAACCAGCAGCACCGCCACCACCAGCATTATTCGGCGTCCCTTGCGGTGGTCGAGCAGAGGTGGCTGAAGATGATGGCGGCGAATTATTCCCGTTGAAGACGCCATCGCCGTCTGCATTTGCTTCCTCAAGTTCAGGCGGCTGTGAGTTCGTCCCTGTAGAAATTATAAATCAAGAATTACTTTATTGTGGATTTTCAATGATTTTTTTACATGTCGAGTGTCCAAACACACTCAGGAATTTCACGCAGGTGTCGCTCAAATCGTAAAAGAAAAAACATTCGATCAAAGAAGCAAAACACTTCACAGCACAGAAAAAATCCCATCAGACATTTTTGGTAAATGTTTTCATAAATGATTAATTCCAATGAGAAGAATTAATATAACAGCCAAAGCAGATTAAAATAATGTCCTCCAACCTTTTTGGGCCAATGGACTGGCAAATTTCTGTTAAATTTATCGCAGGCCAGGAAGTTTACCAAAAAATGTATGCAGACCAACAACGCTTCATAAAATTGTTGCATACTCAAAAAAGTTTCACTTAGCAGGAATTTTTAAAGTTTCTGCCTTTTAGGAAAAAATTGAGAACTAATGGAGCAGCTATATATACAGTGGAATGTTTTGAAAAATTGCCCAGTTGGGCTTGAAGAAAAGGTTCTCAGAATGAAAAACTTGAAATAATTTATTTCAGGACATGAAAGTTTTTCTGAAGTGTTATTAGGAGAAAAGCCAACTGCTATTATTTCATCAGATAATTTCAATTGACAAAATATTGTTGGTCCAACATTACAGAGAAAGAAAAGAGACTTCATTTTTTTGCTTTTTAATTTATTATGCTGCAGGAAAATTCCCCCAAAGCAGCGAAGATCTTTTGATCATGGGTTGTTGGGGAACATTGCATAAAAAAAACCCCAATCTTCTCCAATAAGTTCAGCAAATAAATTGAACTGAACTAGGATGGATTCGATCACATTCAAGCGACACCTGCTGTACATAGTGAAGAAGTCATCCTACTAGGATTATTGACCCTCATTACCTGAAGGTTTAGCGGGATTATCTTGAGATCCAACTGCTGCTGATGCTCCTCCCTTATTCTTCGTCTTATCCTTGTCTTCATTATCATCATCGTTGAAGAGCAGCGAGGGAAACTCTCCACCGTTCAAGTCGTTGTTGAAGAGATCGTCGTCACTGCTGCCAAAATCGGTGGGATTTTTCGCCTTTTCCTTCTGCTGATCTTTGCCAAAGCCGAGGATCCCAGAGAGACTCGGAATCGGCGGTACCAAGTCGAAGGGGTCCATTCGCGAATTCTCCGCGTCATCTGACGGACGCTTCTGCTGGGGGATGAAGGGTCTTTTCGGTGGAGCACCAGCAGGTGTCACTCCTGACGCTGGCACATTTGGTAGAAGCGAAGGGAAGTCTCCTCCAGACACGTCCTCATCTGTAAAAAGAAAACAAACATGGAGCATCAGAGATACAGTAATGTACAATGAAAATATATTTTCTGGATGCATGAAAGGCATGGTGGGACATTGACTGATGCGTATATATGTGACGTTTTTTGCAGCACTGTACAATATTTCACTTGCAGAAATAATCGTTTTGCTACGTTATTCGATCAAATTTCATTTCCCCGTTGATTTCACAGCCCACAGAATAATTGGTATGAAAAGAGCAATAAAGAAAATTTTACATATAATTCACTTTTGATTTTGAAAAGATGCACAGTACTCAAGATTTTGCTTGGTTTGCACATGTGCTGGAGAAAAATTTTTACCATGCAAACGAAGCAACTGATTCAAAATACGGTATTACTGAGGCTATCAAACAATATTGAACAACCCAAACATTACAGAAATACAAGGTACAGTGCTGCATATATATATATATGTGCAGGTCTAACTTGAGATTTGTTTCCATTAATACATTCTGAAAATCTCATTGTAAATATTGTTTCCAGTGAACACATTCTTCCTTGAGCCCCTGCATGTTTGTTGCAATGAAATTTCACTGCATATATGAAATTGTCAATGTATTTTACATCATAAGATTGAATGTCTTTAAAGAAGCTGATAAGTAATTTAAGGATGAATCAGCCTTATGCTGTCTTTGGGGATTGAGTCTCCCCGACACAAGAATTGAAGAAACGTGTGGATCAAATAAAGAAAATCCTAAAAATTATATAGATTGGAGAAAAGGAAAGATTCCAATCAGCCTGGGATTGGCTGGGAAATCTGCAAGAATTCAAAATTCAGAGATCTATATTAAATGTTTTCTGTATACAAACTTGTTTGAAGGGGTTTCTTCCCATGTTTTTAGGAGTTCTTGCTTCTCTACAACCGAATTCTCCTCACAATTTTTTAAATTTTTTTGCCAGGACCTTGCATAAAAAAAATAAAGAGATAGAGAGAGAGAGTCCAGCTGTAACATTGAGCAAACAAAATCTTTAAAAAAGAGGAATCCAGCCAAGTTGGGAAATTTTTGTGGATTTATATCATTGGCAGTATTCAGCAAAGACATTTAACCTTACTCAGGAAACTTAGTTCAGCAGGATACTGGATCTATAGACGTGCACCACATACAAAAGATTTTTGTTGGGTGCATTTATTTGTTCATTCATGAACAAGTTTGTATACTCAACTTTGTGATGTTCAATTTGCTAATTGCTTTTTGCAATTGTCTCTTCTGATACATGTGATGAGAGAAAATACAGGTGGTGCCTTATTTCAATCTGACCATAATCTGTTTTGCTGGACTGCAGTCAACTTGTGAAGCAGTCAAACTTAAAGACAATGTCAAATGCAATGTTTACTGCATTGTATTTGACAAGTTATGTATCCTCGTGGGTCAAATTTCAGAGCAGAGGTCAAATTGCAAGTTGACCTCACAGCAAATTTGACTGTTGAATATTATTGGTATAGGCGAATTGTGAAGTAACACCCTTAATAGTCCTATTCCTACTGTATCAAAGCATCCCGTGAGAGAGGATGCATCTGCTCCATTCAATTTTGCCACCATAAATGGTGATTTGTACGTTACATTAGAATAGCTTGGAGGTTGCATAATTTCCTCAGATGTTTCTTGCATCCGGATGTGTTTTTTGAGCAGTAGAAAATGTGCTACACATGATTGATGGTTGTATAAATAAGTGTTCCCCAACCTTTCTGGGTTTGAAGACGAGCAAATTTTAATAAAATCCTCAGAGGACGAGCATATTTTCATAAACTTTTCTGCGAATTGGCCAAGTTCTGTAAAATTTTTGCTGAGCAGCAGAAAATTTAAAGATACCTGCCATATACAGTGTTGCAATATAAGTATATAACAAAACTTTCATTGCAAAAATTTTAAGTTGAGAACCTGTGAAGCAACTATAAATTGGAAATGTCTTCTGAAAAAGGGATGCTTGGCTTGAAGAAAGGTTTCTCAGGTTGAAAATAGCATTTAACATACTTCAGAAGTTGAAAATATTGTCTCAAATTTTTGTGAGTCCCCCCCCCCTGAAAGAGAGCCAAGCGTAGCAAATTTAGTCTCTTGTATTGAATGACAGCAAGCCATTTCTCATGTCAGCTTTCTAAGTAATTTAATCTTCAAAGAAAAAAACGCCAAAACAGCAATTTAAAAGAACTGAGCCATAAAGGAGACCAGTTTTGGCAAATTGCCAAAACTTGTCATTGGTTATTTCCGTGAGAATTGGGTTTCACCCCTGCTCTCATGACAAACTTGAATGGACCTTTGGTCCTTGAATCCCTCAAGTTTCCAAAGCTCAAGAATAAAGAAAATGTACCACAACTTAAAAAGCTGAAACTGTTATCAAATACTAAATCTCAGTGGAAATTTCCACAAGGCAAACCCTTTTCCTGATTCCAAAGTCCACGCAAGGACTGTAACTATGGTCTTCTGAACTTTGGTACTGAGCTGACCTCAAGTACTCAGCAAACTTGCTAAAAATTTAACTCTTGATATGCAAATCTGAGAAAATATACGATCTCAAAATGGGGTGCTTCCAAGCACCCCAATTGTAGCCCAACCAAATCTGGTGCACAATTTATTTCTTCTTTGTAAAATACCTTTGAATCTGCGCAACAAATATGTTTAAATTGCTATTAGGAGAAAACCCAACAATTTATTTTTCATTCGATAATTTCGAGTGCCATTGCCTCTAAAACTTTATACTGTACTTTATTACTCTACTTTTAACACCTTTTTTTGTGTGAAATACATTTTCCCGCATACCGGCAAAAAAACTTCACCACGGGTTGGGGAACACTAGTATAAATCGCTTGAATTACCTGGTAGCTGAAAGAAAGGCCGCTGCTGCTGCTGAGGTCTCTGCTTATTATTATTATTATTGACACTGCTAATGCCTGGCCCTGGGAGCAACGCTGGCAGTTGTTGGTCGTAGTCATCGTCGGGGAATTCCTCCTCCTCCTCTCCTTCCTGCGGCTGGCCCCCTGATGCAGCTGCTGATGGGGTTGTAGGTCGGGTGAACAATCCGGGCCTCCTGGTAGGGATGGCAGAAGGTGATGGAACCAGTGCAGGTCGCCGTGTTGGCATCACGGCCGGACGATCCAAGTCCAAGTCGTCATACTCGTCCACGGGCGACGGAGCTGGCCTAGTTTCTGGCCTCGGTGGGCGAATCGGCCTCTGTTGCAGACAATATAGGCAGTACATGTATCAGCTGAGCCTCGATAACTCAGAATCATCCTACTAAGAATGTTCTCATATTTTTTGGAAATAATGCAAAAAAAAACCTCCCTAACTCAAAGGCTTTTCTCCTCTGAAACCTCCATCATAAGCCTTCTGTAGTGTTTTTGCTATACAGAACTACACTATAATTCGACAGGGTGACAAAAAATGCGCAACATGATATGTTTCTTGAGCTCCATTTTAAAATATAAGCCTTTCTTCCAAATAAACAGTATGTTGAAACAATGTTCTTCTATTCAAATGAGAAGACTGCTATATGAGTGAATAAGTTGATTCAAAAGAAATGACATCATTTTTCCATATGTAGTTTTGTTTCATTTTATTCTTCAATACAAGCAGCTCTTTAGTATGAAGGCAGGCTTGATAAAAAGTGCTGCTAATTTCAAACGTTTTATCTTCATTTCATCAGAATTATTTATTGATACAGAAATTGTGAAAAGTCTTGAATTATCTGCTTTGGGTGCATTTTAAAGAGGTTATTGCCCATATCCGAACACACAATTTCACTCTAACTCTAAAATGTGTTAAGAAGCACTTGATACAAGACATTTTTTGTTATAAGAAATTGTTCATCAGTTTGCCAGGAGTTTGTTGTACCCAGATATTTGTCATTCTATCAATAGCACAGGGAAGATAAAAAACAATGAACATGTAAGTTGATGTATTTTGAAATAAATAATTGGGCAAATGAACTCATGCCTCCAACTTCAGCACTCTTCCAAATCGCTCAAGAAGCAATTTAAGACCAATAATTCCACCAATTACAATTTCCTAGCATTCATCTCTTTTTCCCCCAACAAAGAAAGTTTGTTTCCCTATTTAAAAAACTCCCCAATAAAATTATTTTCGCTGGTCTACTGAAGTTCAACTTTGAGAGGTTTGAGAATGATACAGTGAATGTCTCGAATCACGAACTTGATTCGTTTCATAGCAAATGGTTTTTTCCACAAAGTCAGGATTTCGAATACTAACCTATGAGCAATTTGTTCCAGTTGAACTGATTATAATGGCAAAATGCCAAAAATAGTTTGAAAATTAACAACGCAAAAATACAAGAGCTACAACTATGGTGGTTCAATTTTGAAAGCATTTGCTTGGCGTTATAATTTATTAAAGACAATTTTGTCAGTTTTTTTCTTTACTTTGTGCTGTGATGAACTGCTTATTGACAGTACGGATGAATAATTGTGAGAAAATAAAATCCGAAAATGTCTGAAAAATTCCTAAAATGCAATTCAGCACAGTGATGAGGAAGTGAGATCTGCTGCATCAGCAATCAACCTGTAAGGCAGCACCCGGTCGCACGAGACCCGGTCTTTGCAGCGACGATGATGGACGACTCGTGATTGATGATGGACGGGAAAACTGCGGAAACAATGGCACATCCGGTTCCGGCTCTTCTTCTTCTTCTTCTCCTGCTTGTGCTGGTCGGGTTGTTGTTGATGACGACTGCTGCTGCTGCTGGAAGGCAGGTCGTCTCCCACCCCCACTGCTGGATGTAGTAGAAATAACTGGAGCGACGGTCGTCGTCGTCGTCGTCGTCGTCGACGGCTGCTGAGGCTCCTGCGTATTGCTGTGTCCATGGGCCAGCTCGTGTGCAGCCAAGCACAGGTGGTTCCCATTGATGAACTCTGGCTGGATGTGCTCCAACTGCGATTTCAAAAGAGCCACCGTCATTGAACTTTATATACTGTATATCAAATAACAGGGTTGCTTACATAAGTGTTTATTGATTACACTTCAGAGTATTGTTGCCTTAAGTCATGACCAAATTTGTTTCAACTGCTGACCCATCAGGTAATTACAATGTTCTTGTTCAACTATCACTTGATACAATGTTGACAAGGGTCAGAGATTTCAATTGTTTTCTGCAACTTTTCAGAAAAATACAAAAGTTACTCTGCGAGATATGTTATAAGTAGTTTTTGTTGTACAACTTCCCACAGATACCAACAATAAGAATTATTTGTTCAAGCAGAGCAACAATGAGAATGAGGTAGCAAGGAATTCTGGATAGCAACAGGACGTCAAACTAATGACTTGCGCACAAGGCGCAGCCTAGCTTAGTGGAGCATTAAATGACAAGGGTTTTTTTTCTTTAAAGTGTATTTTTATTGTAGTCTCAGTACTGTATTATGACTACAGTGCCAACTCTTGAAAAAGAAGAATTGTTGTAATTGCATTGGATCTATATCAAAAAGTCTCAAAACTTATAAGCCAACCCTTTTACAATTAAAACCCTTTTACAACTCAAACTTTCCTTTTGAGTTGTGTTTTTGAATCATTGTCTTATTTTTCTTAGAAACAATGCATTAAAGAAACGTCCCTAAATCATCAGGTGAATTTTCAGGACAAGGCCTTCTTCATATTCTTTTAATTGATGCTAAGGAAAGAAAAAAACCACAACATAAATGTAATTGAAGGCATTTCCAAATTAATGAAGACCAATTGATTGATGCATGAACTCTTGCCTCAAAATGTAGCATCCTAGTAATAATTCGAGGCCCAAAATATCACCCATTATAATTTCCTGTCAATCATCATTATCTCGCACAAGAAATAAAATGCTTGTCTCCTCAACTTGAAATGTTTTTTAAAGTCGAAATTTTGATGGTGTTGCTGCAGGTCACTTAAAAATCAACTGATGGGAGAGCTTTCACTGTCTTGCTTTTCGCAAATTTGATTCATCTCACTGTTTTTGCGGGCAGATTAAAAACTGCCACTTAAAAATCTGCAATGTTTTTACTAATTGCGGAATCTCATCACTAAGCAGCGTTTGGGACCTCGAAAAAGCTTCGTTTCGAACGAAATTTTGTCAAAACGAAAGTAAAAATAATATTGTGGCTAATGGACAGCAGCAGGTATACTGACGAAAATATACAAACAAGTTCGTTGAAACCAAAAAAATTTGTTGCTATGAAATGTGTTGCAACGGGGTCATCCGAACGTCACTCACGAAAAAGGGAAGACACTCGGGACAGTGGTCCCTCGCCAGGTCCAGCGCAGTGACGCCCTCGTCGTCCTGCAGCTTGATGTCGGCGCCACGCAGCACCAGCAGCGACGCCGCTGCCACATTACCCGTGAAAGTGGCGAACATGAGCGGCGTCGTGCCGACGTTGGTCTTGAGGTCGAGTCCCCCGGGGGCATGGGTGAGCAACAGCATGAGTTCCGCCAATTTCCCGGCCCTGGCAGCCATGTGCATCGGGGTCAGGGCCTTGTTCGTCTTGCCCAGCAGGATTTCCATCTCCCGTTCCGTGTCTTCCACCTTTACCATACCCATTGAGGAAAAAATATCCATCACTGTACACTATATGGGAGCTGAGGGACATTCTTCCCCAACACGTGGGACTGTATATTGTCATTTTCCACTGGTCCACGATAAGACATTTTCTGTATAGGCATAATTAATTGATCAAAAGTGGCAATAATGCAGGACATTGCAGAATTTTTACATTTGAAATTCTGGCGAGACAATATGGCAGCTTGAATAATCTGACGAAAATGAAGGTTGACTCTTCTCCTACTAACACTTCACACAAATTTTTATTTGATGAAAGAAATTACAGTATTATGATTTTTTGTTCTGGGAAACCTGTTTCAAAGCCACCCTTCTCTTTTTAAAGACATTCCACTACAGGTGCTTCGTTGGTTCATCTTCACTGGATATTTTGTGGGGAGAAACAGAAGCTTTTTGAATGCCTTCCACAAAGTCTTTCAAACAAAACTATTTTGAACTTGTCTACAATCACTTACTTAAATTTTACAAATTTTCAAAAAATGTTTTGTAAATTTGTAAGGTCTAAAAAAATCATATGGAAATTTGCCAGTCCACAGGCCCAAACAAAAAATTGGGGCAATTACTGCTGGGTGTGAGTACAATATTTTACAGGCATTGTACATGAGCTTGTCCCAGTAATAAAAATATTTCCCAAGCAGAAAATAGGCCTGATGGGATGATGTTTTTAATGAGGAAATGAACTCTTGCTCTTGGAACAACACAAATTGGACTCCAGGTTTCATTTGTGACAAGCTCGAGAAAAATTGAAAATTGAAAAATTTATAGAAAAGTTTGTGCTGAAAAGAACATAAAATTTTCACTGGTTGTCTGGCATGGAAAAGTTTCAACAGCTTCATTTGACATGGGTGGAGAACTCTCTCTGGAGCTGGAAAGGTTTCACTCATGCAGTAAATCTAAAAGATTTAAAAAAAAGTCTGCATAATGCCAGAACCTTAGAATATCATGGGTTAAATTTTTTCTCTCAAAGTGGTGCCTACTCTAGAAAGACTCAAAGTCAGTCAGAACTGACAACTGAGACAACCCCCGTACAAGCGCCCATACATTTTGAGTACAAAATTAAAATTCCAAGTTAATCACCCATTTGATATCCTGGTGTTCTGGCTTTATAGGAACCTCAAATTTCTGACTCCATTCAGGTTTTCCACAGAAAGAATAAAATGGGATCCCATAACCTTTGCTCTTTACCTCTTCCCCTTCAGTCAATGACTCATGCATCTTGAAAGGTTTTATACAAGCTGACCATTTCTTGTGCTACTTTTCCAAAATTTAATTGCAAAGAAACTGAAGAAGAGTTTGATTGATTTGTATGCGGCAAAAAGGAAGATTCCGTTATGTGAGCACATTTCAAGATACACTCCTCAAATATACAAGCACCCTCAAAGTTTTTGAGCTTCTGTAAAATTGGAAAAGCGATGGGTGCTCATACTGTAATGTACTTGCCTAAATACAGCAGTTCTTTGGGTCTCTCTAATAGTTTTTTCTTGGGAAATCAAAGCACAATGAAATTTAAAAAAAAAACAATTCAAAAACAGGCGGGAGCAGCTAATTTCCAACAGCTTTAATAGTTCTGACAGAAAATTCCACTTTAAAAATAAGAAAATAGGGCTCATAAGAATTCTGAGAGCCCTTCACCTACCTGTTCTAGAATGAGGAAGAAAATGTTGGACTTCTCAGAGGGCAGAGTGCCAGTTTCTGCTGCAAAGTGGTAGGCAGTCCAGCCCTGGTAGTTGGTCAGGGCAAACAGTCGGATCTTCTCCTCCTGCGACTCCACCAGGCGATTCGTGTGCTCTATGATGAACTGCACTGGTCGCGGGTGACCTCTAGACACAGCAATCATCAACGGCGTCACTCCCTCTGCACTCTGAATGTGCAACCATTCCGCCCCGGGGGCTCTCTGGCACAAATACTTGACCATCACTGCAGACGCGTTGTTGGCAGCCAGCGACAGTGGGATCAGTCCGTCTGAGTTCTTTCTGCAATAAAAAAATGCATAAATAATACAATATAATTTTCGTTGCAACAACATTTTTAGTACAACAAAAGTTTTCTCCAATCCCAACAAGAAGCCTTTGAAGAACATGATAGAACGATCTCATTGCACGTATAAGAAACTTCAAAATTCCACCATAACATTTTTGGGGAATGTTTGCTAGATTCTACAGGTGAAAATTACCTGAAAAAGCAGGCACAGTAAGGAAATTCCTCATCCCAAATATGACAGACTTATTCTTGCTGTATGGATGGAAGCTCTGATTTATAACAAGCGTGTTTCCAAGTGGTTTCAAACGTCATCCTCTCAAAATGAAAGTATGGGTGCAACTAATGGGTTTCACCACTTCGGATTGACCTTGGGTATTTCTACAGAAAGTAACACTGTAAAAAAAATATATTCAGCCCATGCTATTGTAAGGTTCAGGGGATTTTTGTAATCTTCTTCCCAAGAATGATGCGTTCTTGGTCGACAAAAACCTTTGGAATGCAGCAATACTTTCTAGATTTCTGAAAAATAGAAGTGAGCAATTATGCAAGATTCAGAACTGAAGCGCTTATTTCATGGATTAAAAAACACACCAATCTTCGGGAATCAGGAATGGAGCTTGTGGAACTGGGAGAAAAATCCAGCAATCAACACGGACATCAAACACTTTTTATAGAAATTTGTCCCCTTATCCTGCCTTTAGACCTTGAGGCGAAAAATGAAAAAAATAAATAGGCGGAAGTTCCTAAAATGTCAAGTCTTTGGATGATATTTTTGAAAAAATAAGCAATTGGAAATGAACCATTGATCTTGGAAAAGTGCAGAAGGAACGATTCATGTGCTGCAAAACATGATCTCATTGTTGGGGACAACAGTCACCACAACACAAGAAAAGAGAAAGAAGCTGTGGATCAAAAGAATTATAAATAGAAACACAGAATCAGCCTGGGACAAGGCTGGGGATTCCTGGTAGAATCCAAACTTTAACTTTAAACTGTATTTCAGTATCTAGTCCCGAAAGTAAAGATTTCAACAAGTCTCAAAGTATTTGATTTACAGCAAAAGCCTCTCAGCAAGCTTGAATTTTGTCACTGTGTTCACCACACAACAGCTAGACTCGGACTGTTGATAAAAATGGGAATAAAAGGGGTTTTTCTTAATTGTTGGTGCTGGCCTTGATCCAGCTCTCTGGCTGAGGATCAGGCGATTTTTAAAGGCCTGGGATTGGCCAGAAAAGTTGAAGTCCAAGACAACTCTGGGGGCAGGAAGCCTTGGAAGAAGGTTCCCGATTTTTCCAAGATTTTCTGGTGCTCTAAATTTGACCGTTTCCTGTGCTTGTCCTTGGGTGCTTTTTCCACCCATTTACTCCTGCCTCTATTGATGAGGCGTTCATTACACTAGTGGCGGCAGGTCCCCAACACTCATCATTCAAAATTATGTTGAAAACACATAAGATTCAGGAAAGTTTGCACACAACACAATAGACAATTTACAATTTTTTGACTGGCCTGAAGTATGTTTAACAGCTTGTGAAATCAATGGAGAACTCTCCCCAAAACTGGAAAGTTTTCACTCATCATCAAGCAGTAAATTTAAAAATTGTCATAAATATCTGGAAAAAAATCCCAGAAGCTCACAATTGCATGGGCTCAAGCATATTTTTTTCACAGTAGTCCCTACTCTAGGAACACCCAAAACCAATCAGAAGTAGGACAAGAGCAGTACCAGAAGATAGTACCTGTTCTACAGTACCTGTAGAAATCTTCATTCCTGTCCTCAGGAATGACAGTCATGAAGTACTCCATGGCGCCTGTGCATGAGCTGAAAGCAGCTGTGTGAATGGCAGAGTGCCGATTATTGTCAGTTTCCAGGATGTACTCCACGCCTTTCTTCCCCGCAGCTTCAACCAGAACGCTGAACGGATTGTCCTGTCAAAATAAGCGGATTTTTATTTTCCAAAATGAATAAAATCGTGCATAATTTCTCATCTTTCCACAATAATGCAACAATTGATCCACTTTTCTGAATTGAATGCATTATTCCAATTATCAATCCATCCTTTGCCGAATACTGCTATTTGATAAGAAGGAAGAAAAACAGGGCATTTTTGGGCCTTCAAAATGCTTTTTAAATGAGTTGACATGATGTTGGACTTGGAGGCATGGATTAAGATTTGCCGGATTAGCCTTTTATTCCCTTTCAAAACACATCAACACATTTTCATTGCTTTTGTTTTTCCTGTCTCAATGAAGTAAGAGGAGAAAGCCCTCTAAAAATTTGAGTTTTGAAGGTTTTGAGGAGGAAAGCCTTTATTGGAATTAAAAAAGTTTTCAAAGCATTGCTTCCAAAGCAGTGTTCCCAAACCCTTGGTTGGCCAAAGTGTTTCTTGCTGGTCTATGGGGAATTTTCTTCAGCACAATTGATTTATCAAAATTAGGAATAAAGTCTTCAGTTGATAGTCTGGGAGGACAAGGACAGTTTGAATTATTTTATCTAATGCAAAATGACACTTGAGTATTCCCCAAACAACATTTCAGACACGTTTTCACTTGCTGAAAAAATCTATTTAAATTTTTCCATAATGACTAACCTTTCTTCAAGCCCACCTTTTCTTTTTAAAGACATTCCACTATAGTTGCTTCATTGGTTCTCAACTTAATTTTTGCAAAAAAGCAGGAAATCTTGAAATACTTGCCATAAAGTTTACCATTCAAAACCTTTTTGAGTCTGCAAACATACTATATTTTTGAAACTTTTTCAGTCTGCAAATTTTTTTTCGGAAATTTACCAATCGACAGGCTCAAAAAGGTTATGTAACACTGATACCAAGAAATTCAGATAGGGACTGACTCACAACAAATGCGACTTGAAGTAGGTTGGATTATATACATTGAGGTTCAACTGCATATATATATATATTTTCAATCAAATCACATTGACATTCCATCAGTTATATGCTACCTTCAAGTCGGGCAGGCCGAACTTGTAGGGTTTGCCGCAGCCCAGCGTGGCCAGCATGAGCGGCGTGTGTCCTCGGTCGTCCTTGGCGTAAATGTCGTCGCCGGCTGCAATGAGGGCCTTCATCGCGGCCAGGTTATTCCTCAGACTCGCCAGCTGCAGCGGCGTCCTGCCTTCGTTGTCCAGCACATCAATCGGGGCACCTTGGTTGAGTAGGGCCTCGGTGATGCCCTCGGTTGGCCCGCCTTCCGTGACGATGGCCAGGAGCAGCAGCGGCATTTCCGTCACCGCAGCGTCGGCGCCAAAGAGGGCGTCTGGGTTACCGGCGGCGGCGGTGCTGTTGAGGATGGCCCTGGCTGTCTGCATGTCGTTGTTGAGCAGGGCCTGTTGTAGCTGGATCGCAACAGGCACGACGACGTTGGACGTGGTCTTGCTCGTAGCGGGGTCTGAGCGTTGGATGCTGCTACCGAATGACTGACTCGTCTTTGCAGGATTAGGCGAGGCTTGCTTTGATAATTCCTGCTGCAATTGGGCTGTCAATGTAATAATAGACGATAAGGAAAAGAATACTATATACAAAGACTACCGCTGCATCATGATAAAAGCATTTCATAGCAATCAGCAGGAATCAAAAATGACCAAACATTTTCTATAATTCGAACCCCACTAAAACTAATACTTTGGTGAGGAAAATCAATTCAAGAGGTCTTTTCCTCAATTGGGTGACTGGAATAACTTTTTTAGGCCCAACCTCATCAGGATGGAAGAATCTTGTCACAAATTTAACTTGTTGTGGAATATTGTTGGCAGGAATAATCTTGCCTTTATGTATTACCTAAGATGTCCAAACTTCAGGGATTTTTGGGTTCTACCAGGTTGGTCCAGTTGTGAAGTGGGGGAAGATTTTTTTTATGAGTTTGTTCCAGGAGAGGCTTGAAAACAACAATCTGGCATTTTAATGACAATTCCACCATCCTTTTTAATTGGCTCTAAAGTTTGAAAAAATGGAATGTTTGCTACTGTTGTGTTTCTTTGTCCCAAACACAGGATGTCCCACAAAGAAAACTACAGTATATTTTAGCAAGGATGCATATAGGCAGCATTTATATTATTTCATTTCATTTATGCCTTGTAGAGGTTGAGTGAATCAAGGTTTGGTTGCAGCATGAGCATTTCAAAGCTCAATGAAAGTTGAGTTTGTTTTGCAAAAATATATTTCACGCAAGAAACATGCATTGCATCAAATTTTATGTTTGGACAAAAAGATTCAAAAATTGCAATATTTGCTTTAAGAGGTCAAACAATTCTTTTGCCTTCATTTTTTGCAAAGTCATGAGCTTTGGTATTTTACAAATTGTAATTCCTGTAAGCGCGGAGCTTTTGGTTTTTTCAGTTTTTGTATAACCAGGAATGGATCATTTCCGTTTATGCGGGGAGGATACAAGGACCCACGGGTTTATACACAACTAAAAAATACGAAGGCATTTATATATGCACAGTATTTTAAACTCACGAGGAAGTTGCATTCGCGACGATGCTTCATCCAGCTGGTTCATCACTCTTTCATCACAAGCAAGGTTTTGCTTCCGCATGGCTGAACTAATTTCCTGAAGAGACACAATTATTAAGAGCCATTGAAATTCAAATTAATTTGAAGAATGGAATCATAACTTCACCGTGAAACTCACCAATGCTTTCAGGCACTGCGGACAAGTGTGCTGAGCCTGAAACACAAAGGGAGATTGCCTTTTTCAGCAAAGAAAAAAAAAGAGGTGAATAAAAAAATTAATTTTGACTATACCTCATCATCAGCTGAAAAAAAAAAAAATTTAAAAATTGTTGGTTGATTTTAGGCACGACGTGGACTAACTTCTGTTTCTGTTTGGAAATGTAGATTAAAGATTTCTCACAGAACAAATGATTGCATTGCAAAATGAAAGAGAAATTCAAAATATTTTAAATTTATTTATTCAATAGACGCTGGCCTTTTTATTTTGGGAGTTCCTTGGTAGAAAATGCAATTGAATGTAGTGTTTGAATTGGAACACAAAATTAAAATTTTTCTCCCAATCAAAACTTCTATGTGGAGGAGTACAGTATTTACTACAAACTAGAGTACCAGATATAAACATTATACATGTGCTGGTGATATTCGCACCAGGGATTTTTGTAAATTTTTATATAAAACATTATCTGCGATGTTAGTAAGTCGCGCACCGCATTTTTAGTAACTCTGAAACTAAAATATGTCAAAGATCAAAACAATTTAGATTTTACTCAAGACATGAATTCATCCTGAATTGAACTACAGTCAAACCTCTCTGGAGTTACATTATTATCACAGACATTAGTCTTCCAAAGAACACAGCAGCACGGGTGACGTAATAATTGTATATGAAATGCAACACCTGAAGAGCAGCATCGACGCCGTCGTCATTGACGATCGACACGTTGGCGCCCTGCATGACTAGCATAGTTGTGGCGTTGGCGTGGCCAGCAAACACGGCCAGCAGCAGTGGCGTCCATCCGTACTCCTTCAGGGCGTCCACGTTTCCGGGGGCATAGGACAACAAGAGGGCCATGCATTCCACGTGTCCGTATCGGGCTGCCACGTGCAGAGGAGACCAGCCCTCGTCGTCAGTCCGCACCAACATCTCCGCTGCTTCACTCTCGTCCAGCTGTTCGTATACATTACCAAAATGTAGGGAAGAAAATGAACAGAAAGGCATTGATTTCCTCTTTTGTAAACACACATAGGATGGGCACCGGTTGTTTATTTTAATTAAAAATTTTCAACCAGGTGTTGCCTGAATCGAAAGCACAACAGCAAGATTAAATCAATTTTACAATACTGTACAGTGCAGTATCTTAAACTGCTGAACACGACTGTATATATTTTACAGCTTGAGATAAATTGATACAGAAAAAAAATATAAATATATATATATATATATTAGGAATCTCTATGCAACATAATTCATGCACAGTTAAATTCCTTAGCAAGGGATCTTGTGATAACAAATGTTTTCTTGGTCCCAGCGCTTTCTTTGTATAAGGACAGTGTTGATAAACTTAGGTTCTTACCAAAATCACAGTACTGTATCACAATTTTTAGTTCATTAATATGTGTTTGACGTTGTAGTCATATTATTGACCACAAAATACAAACACTTTATGAATGCCCTTTCAAGCTGATGCATTTCTACTACACTTGGTTGGTCCTAGAGCATGCACAAGTCATATATTTCACAATCCCATTGTTGACCAGAATCCTTTTCTTGATCGCATTCATAGTTCTTTCTTCTGAACAAAGTATGATGCTCCCAATCCAAATTGGTTGCTATGCACCTTTCTCAACCTTGGCCAAAGTTATAAATACAGGTGCATTTTATGTTGAGGCAAGTTCACCGCATTCTGATGCTGCACTGATACCTTGTTGTCACTGCTTTGCTCTGCAATATTGTTTATACAAATACTGAGTGGATTTTGATGATAAACTAAACTTTATAATACTCTCATGGAGTACAACTTTTGTGTTTCCTTCAGAAGTTGCAGAAAACAATTTTTAATCTCTAATCCTTGTCAATTTGACAAGTAATTGAAGTAACAACTATAATTGATCACTACAGTATTTTTATTTGGCTTGACAATTTCAGACAACACCATATATAAGTTGATACTGATGGCACAATATGTGCAAACCCAATGTGCGCATAATGGAAAAACTCTCTTAAAATACAGATGCTAATCTTCTTGTACAAAAAATTTAGCACTGCAGGAAGAATGAAGCTTTGAGGAAAAATATCTCACACTGTTTCCTAATTCGGAAACACCTGTATTCCACAATTGAAAAAACGTTTTATTGTACATGTCAAGGGATACAGCTGTTCTATTTCAAGAGAAATAAATTTGCTAATGCAATTATGCTATTCTTACACGCATGTCATTTTTGTCTGCGTCAGCTTATGTTTCAGTTTGCAGGTCTTAGAAGATAACAATTTTAGATTATTATTGAAGAAAGGAAGGTCGAGGATTGCATCTTCAATTTGAATTTTTATCTATTAAGCCATCAAAATTAGTTCGTTCTGATGGCAATTCATCGATTAATTGTTTCGAAAGTACTTTAATAAATCATTCATCATCTGCCTGTTTCCCACGAAATTTCAGTCCGACATGCTCAAAGCGAAACAAGCTGCTGTTGATCATAAAAGTTTTTCCATCAGGTTCACGGGAGTCTTTTGTAACACAATTTTACTGCACATTCTGAAACGGTATTTTGCCTCAGACTTCCCCGATCAAAAAAGAATGCCGCCATATTCAGGTGACAAACTAGCTCTGTGTGACACGGGAAAAAAATAGGGAAGAAATGATTATATCTGACAGATTTGATTAAAAATCATCATCCATCACCACAAACAAGAAATAGCATTAATAAATAAATCGTACCTGCTCAATCAGCAATTCCAAGATGGCTGGGAAGTCGTAGCGTACGGCAAAATGAAACGCGTTCCAGCCTCTGGAATTGGCCCTGGCCAAGTACTCGGTCCTCCTTATTGTCTTGCTGCTGCTGCTGCTCTCCGCCGACAGAAGTGGCCCAAACGTGGCCTCCAGAATGTGCTCCACTGTTCGTTTATGCCCGTACCACACGGCCAGGTGGAGTGCGTTGAGTCCATCCGATTTGCCCGCATAGATGTCGTCCATAGTCGGGGCTCTCGCAGCGAGCAATCGCACGATTGAGGGAAACCCGTAGCGGGCTGCGAGACTCAGTGCAGTCCAGCCATTCTTGGATTTTCTGCACATGATATATTCATTACACATCACATCATAAATAATGAATCTGATCATTCAGCAGGGGGAGGCAATGGATAATGAGGAGAAAAAAAACAGCAAAAAACCCCACTTCAAAAAGCCTGCCAGATTCCCTCAAGTAGTGGATACCATGCACCCAAATGTTTCTACCTGAAGCTTTTAAAGGAAATAATCCAGGAGTAAGACACCTGCCCCATTCTTAGAGACCACAATTTCATAGATTTTGAAAATGAAATGCATCAGAATTTACTGTTTGACTTGAATGAGGAGGTCAAATTGAATGCTAATTTTTCATCATATAGGATTTTTTCAATTTTATGTAGATGGATGATTTTCAACAATGCCCTGTTGAAATGAAGTGCAGTCAGCCCTTGATCATTGCTACCCCAGAACAAATCGCACATTATTCCTAAGGCAAATTTGGATTTAGTGCCAACCCACATAGTGCCACAAAAAGTCACGTCCTGAATGAAAAATAGGCCAAAATCAGAAAAATTGAGGCACACTTCTAGGGATACTATTAGGTTAGTATACTAAGAATCACATGCCCGTGCTCAGTATAATTTATGAATTCATAAAATATTTGAGACTCAGAAAAGTTTTTGTGGGTTAGTCTTTCTTTCAAACAGACGCTGTGCTGGCCCAACAATACTGCCTACAGTGAAAAAAAAAAAACCTGAACCCCCCACTAAACCTTCGGCTGAAGCAATGCCACCAATTCAGTACCAACATTCCTTGGTGCCACAAAATGTGCAAGACATACGTGATATATGACAATCATTAATTGAGGTATGACTGTTTAGTTTACAAACACTGCATGTTGGGGGGACCGTATGTATAATGAACAAATCATCATAATGGTTGTTGTACCTGAAAATTTCCTCGTTTCGTTCCACAGGGATGTACTTCAAGAAGAGTTTGACCAGTGACGTGCACTGGTTCCTCGCAGCGTCGTGCATTGCTGTCCAATTCTCATTGTCCAGTGACAAGATGTGATCCGCTTGCGTGCCTTCGTCCATCATCTCCAACAGCTTGGCAACAACATCGACCTTCACAACATACAGCACATTATTTGAAAAAGACAGCAATCATTCGATGACAAAACCCTCGTTGAACAGTAAAATTTCGTGCCACCGAAAGCTAATATGACAAATTTCCAAGCACAACCAATTTTCCTCAACTCCTGCAGGCAAAAATACCATGAAGTACAGGCTAAAAAAAATATAATTACAAAAAACTTACCAATTCCAGTATTAGAATCTTTTTTTTAATGTGTAAGAAATTCCCTGACTGGGACACGCGCAGTCTGAGAATGAAGATATTGGTGCGAATTATGGAAAGCATGATTGAAGGCAACTTTTTTTCCAGAAGATCCCTTGATGTTCCAAATAATGATAACGAGTGAAAATGCCAGAAAAGTGACATAAAATGCAATTTTTGTACAGTAATTACTTTTGAAAATCTCATTTCCACAAATCATTCAGCGAAACAAACTTCATCTGAAGTCATCAAAATATTTTCGTTAGCAATATTCTACTGACAAGAGTAGGAGTACAGCACAGTACTGTATAGTACTGTACCTGACATTGAGCAGTCGCTCTGCCCAAAGGAGTCATGCCAGCATTGTCTTTGGCAGCCACGTCTGCTCCAGCATTCACCAGAGCCTCAGCAGCAGCAACGTTTCCCAGACCAGCGGCCAAGTGCAAGGCCGTTCGTCCTTCGGAATCCGCCTGTTGAAAAAAGAAAAGAAGGAAATGAACCAGGGAAGAAGACGTTGGTGATGATCCAGACGAGAAAAAAACAAACAAACAATGGCTTGATCCCATCTCCAACTTCTTCACTCTTTCCCACGAAATTATTTCTGACTGCTGATGAGTGACGACAATTATGTGTCGCAGACGTTAAAGAATGATTTTGGTTACTGATGGATTCGTTACGCACCAGCAGCAGTGGATTTTCTGAACACAAATGTAGGTGTCACTCTCAGTCTTAACTTAATTTAGCACTTTTCCTGCTGAATCACACAAGTCTGGTCTATATACAGTACAGTATACACTTAATCAACACATTCTTACATGCTTCTGTTGCACCCTTATATGTGCACGTCTGCATAAGAAAAAAAATTACACAGCATTTACCAAAATACCTAACGCAGTTTCTTCCAAAAATTTTGAGAAACAAGACCTGCTTAAACTTTATTTTAGAGGAAATGCCGAGTTGCACATCATTGTCAAGTGGAAATTTTCAAGACACATGTTTGAAAATTCGGAAACTTTTTTGCCCACTTCAAATTTTTCCTGTACTATTTTCTATTGTATTACAGCAGGCTGACTCTATACAACAGTCTTGTCTACAAGAATATTCTCTATTCAACAACTATGTGTTTGGTCCATGGGGTTCTATCCAAAATTTATAACCAACTACTGTAATCTGCTTTTCAAGTGGACCTTAGTTTAGATTTTTTACCAAACACAGCTTATTTGCAAATGGGATTGTCCATGTAGACAGGCATAGCATAAGTCCTGACTGTCCTGAGTAGGCATAACATGCGATGCAAAACAGCTGGACGTAACAAATGCATTTGCTTTCCATTTTGATATGAGCAATTATTTTCTGGGAAAAAAGCAAAACCTTTATAGATAAAATCTGGTGTTCAAAATATAAGCATGACATATTATTGGATATTTCTTTAGCTCTATTTTAGAATCTACGCCTTTCTTTTGAATAAAGAGTATGTTAAAAAAAAAACGTCTTTCTTGACAGAAGAAACAGGTATATATGCATAAGTTGGTTCTGAAGGAAGGGAGTAGTTCTATCATATGTGTTTTCTTCATTTCATTTTTTGAAACAAAAAACTCTTCAGGATACAAGCAGGTCTGATGAAGGGGTGAGTATGTAAAGTATTCATTTCAAAATTGTGCTCTTCATTTCATTAGAAGCACTTAGTACAGTTACTAAGAATGATGAGTCTTGAATCAACTGTTTTGGAAGCACGTGAAGTATTTTTTTTTATCCAGTCCAGGTAAAATGTCAGCCTAAAATATGGTAAAACCTGCATGAATCTCATCAGAACAAGTTTTTGCAACTTAAAATTTTTCATCTAGTTGACATGATTTTGTTTTACCAAGATTTTAAAATACCTTGGACCCGTGGTTAACAAGCTTAATTCATTGCAGACAAAAATTTCTTGAACAAATTTGATTTTCCAGATGTCAATTGGGAAGAATTTAATTTGTTCTGTGAACCCAAAAAACAATTGAACACGTATGGAACATAGAAAATGCAAGGCCATGAACTATAATCATAACAAGTTATTGCTTCATCTTATATGTGCCCAGAATGTTTTTACACTGTTACATGGAAGTAGCACTGATGAAAACAAAGATAAAAAGCTTCACATCCCTGGCAACACACAATCAAGGATACCTGTCAGGTGAAAATGAAAATTCATTTTTTCAAAGCTGCAAGAAAAAATGATATAGACTTTTCTAACAATGGAAAAACTAGAAATAAACAAGCACCGGTCAGCAAATAATTCTGTCACCATCGCATACTCGTATCAATAATTTAGTAAAACCATATTTTAAAACAAGATTACACATATGGTATTCAAGTACCAGCAGAGGGGAAGAATTTCTCCATCTGTGCAGACATACATTATTTGCACTTGGATTGTACCATCACATTTTGAAGTTTCAAATTTGGGATTTCTCCCCAGCACAGAAAACTTTGTCAGCTGAAATTTGGTTTCTTGATCAAAAAGTCTGTGGACTAAGCGATTTGTTGAACGAGCGTTTACGACTGTACTGCGATATTTAAAATTTAAAAAAAAATACAACCGGAAAGAGAAAGCTGGAAATCGAAGATGCAGGTGTTCGTCGATGGCGCCTGTTACTCAAGTGAATATGATAAATTTCTTAGAGAAATATGAGTGTGCCATGCAGTATTACGATACTGAACTTTACAAAAATGATGAAAAAATGCAGAGAAAAAGCAACACCACATACTCTAGAATTGCAGTAAAATATGAAGAACAAGACAACAAAACAAGTAAGTGAAGGACCTGCTGTGTCCAGCTGTACCTGGTTCACATCAGGGATTCCCCGAGCCAGGATCGTCTTGGTGGCGGTGGCCTCCCGATGTCCGTCTTCGCTGAGCACCGCCAGATGCAGCACGGGACGACCCTCGGCGTCCACAGCAGCAGCCGCCACCGCCGCCTCCTCCTCATCCTTAATCTTCGCAAGGGAAGACGAGGAATCGCTGGCATTTAAACCACCAGACGTGGAATCATGCACTGATCGCAACAGAGAGTCCACAGCTGTGAGGTTTTTCCGGAACAGGTCCTGTTTTAGACGGGAAATTGCCGGTGGGTCCCGCTGATGATGATGACTGGCATCAAGTTTCGCACTTCCGGCCGGGAAGATTATTCCTGTTTCCAATTAGGAAAACGTGAAGGCTATAATCAAAATGCTGCACAAATTGGGTTCCGTTTCAGCAACTAAAACTACAGAATAATGCCCTTACAACAAATTTCGATACATCGAATTTTTTCATGGTCCCATTATTTTCTCCAACTTAAGCCCCATGTTATACAAATGTTGTCTTAACAAACTTATTCTATGATTTAATCTCATCATAATCAATTTTTGGCATAATTCTGCGCAAAGGCAGAGGGAATTTTGACATATGTCAGAAAATAAATTTAAAAGGAGCAGCATTCAACCTTCATCAGAAAGAAAAACTAGATGTAAATACAATTAGGTGATCAAAAAATTAACAACATGACATATTTCTTGAGAATTACACAGCTTCATTTTTTAAAGTATTCTATTCTTTCAAATGAACAGTATCCACGAACAAATGTTCCTCTTTTGGAAAGAAAAGACAGGTATATGAAATTATAAGTAGATTCAGAAAAAATTACAGCATTTCTAACTCAAGTAATTTCTTCATGATTTATTCATAAAGACAAATCACACTTCATTCAACTCAAAATGAAGGTTAAATGAATGGACATTACAGGACTTTTATATCAATTTTTCTTGTAATTACACCAGAAATGCTCAGTGATTAGGATAAGTCTTGAATTACCTCTTTTTGAAGATCTTCACAGTATTTATTGCCCATCTCCCTCCAAAAAAAGTCAATCTAAATGTGTTAAATACCATCCATCTCAAAACAACTTTTTTATTGATGAATTTCCATCAGATCCCCAGGAGTTCATTGTAAAAAGATTTTACTAGCATAAAAAATTCTTTGGATACAGCAAAAATTCCTCCAAGGCCCTGCAGAAAATCCAGTACACTGAATGTATGTATAATACATATATGAACATCTTCATTTATAACAGTAGAAAACTGAACCATTACTACTTGTGCCTTGTGAATGCTTAAAAGCCGCAAATAAAGTATTCTGTTCATTCATACTACTTGTATCATATAGCATCCCCTTGGTACATGAAACCATAGCTATTTTGACAAACTCAAGGCATTTGAATAAAAACTTCTTCAAATTTTCAAGGGTGTCTAAGTCTAGTGGTGTAATTTTTTAAGCATCATTACATTGGTTGATACATCACTGGAGCACCTTATTTTCTTATTTTGAGCATTCCACACTTACAGAATTGAGCTTCAAAAAGATTTATCACTCTTAAAATTTTATGAGCAGACTCTATCCAATTTATTAAAAAATCAAGATAATCTGTTAACCTAATACAATTGCTCATCAAAGATTCTCTACAAATTGTTTACTCAACTGAACCTCATCTAGGAGTAGGTTGAACACCCTTGCGCTTTAATTTGGTTTTAGTAATTGCTTTATGCTGCAATTCTGATCACTGATATTTTGTTTGTGTGATCAGAGAAGGTAAGAAAGTGTAGGTATTATTATCAGTTTTGCGGTGGCACTTTTTGTGATCCCTGCATTTTTTTTCTTTTAATATGCTTGTACGGCTTTTTCTCTGTTCACCATTCTGATGTGAACAATTTGCTTGGATAAATGTGGGTGGGGAGGGGATGTGGTTTGGATTTGGGAACATTGCTTGAACCTTGGGAATTCTGAAAAGCAGAAAATACAGCGTTCTGTTCAATTCAATCCAATATTGGTCATTGTGAGTGATTTTCTTCACATCCAACTGGCCCAACAGATAAAAAAAAAAACGATTTTTGAAACTGCTGTTCTGAAGCCACTGCGCTGCTAAGGATTTATGAACGTTGCAGGTTTAGCTGAAAATACGTACCAAACAGCAAAAAGTAAAAAAAAAATTCACGAATTAAACCGTGATGGAAGGAAATTAATTTTTAACGTATTTAGATCATTAATCCATAAAATCAAGTCTCATGGTGCAATTTTTAAAACCAATTTTGTCTAGAGCAGCCGAGGAAACTGCAAAGAAATTGGAGACCTTATCAGCAAGTATCAACGAAGTTATGGTGTGCTGAAAATTCCAGGTTTAACATCAGCTTCAAAAACTTTCTACATAAATACACATGATAACTTCCTCCTGAACACGGCTTGATGGTGAGGATATACTTTACACTTGTACAGTATACCATCATTCACGTAGTTCAAACGCCGAACCGGGTGGACTCAAAATCAAAGGATCGACAGATCATAATGAACACAATTTCAACAGAATTGAGGATCATTGCACTTACCTTTGTTTCGAGCATCCACGTCTGACGAAAATAGACATATCACAGAGAAAACAATAAAAAAAAGTTGGTACCCGAAATGTCTGAGCAGCATCTGCGAAATATTATCACGACAATCATGCAGTCAAAAAAAAAAACCGTGGAACATCTTGGAGTCAAACTACAAAGCACCATACAGTACTCTAGACAAGGAGGTTTCCATATCCATAAGGAACAAAGCATTTTCTCGGGGGAAAGAAAGATGAATCACAGGAAAAGGAAATGGTAATTGGTTATATTCTGGGCCTGTAATTGCTTCTCCAATGAGCTGACAGGATGCTGAACTTAGAGCCAAGGGTTCATTCACCCAATTAGTCTTTCACTTCCTTCCAGAACACACCAAGTTGCGCATTTTCATTTATTTTGTCTCTCTTGTGTCAATAAAATGGTAGCCAAAAGGACTCCCGAAAATTCCAGTTATTTCGAGATAGAGGGGGAAACCGTTCAAGTATGGGATGAGGTTTCAAATGTATCGTTTCTGTAAATAAATTCAGACATGGAATATTCGAAGAAAGTTACGCGACATAGGGATTTATTTGACTCATTATAGGGAGGTCCCAATCACCCAGGTCCCAATGTCCTTTTGAGAAAATGTATACATTATAGTGTGAAGCATCCCAAAATGAGTTCACTCTCCAGCATCTTCATGCATCCGCACGGACCGTAATCAACGCGCCTCATCGTATTCATCTTCGCAGCTCACTGAATCAGCACTAATCCTTGAAATGTTCATTTAGTCAAGCGAATTTCGAAGCATAATATTCGTAAACTCTGACCACTGATGGACATATATACTCGGCACATACAGCGAACGAGTTCAACATCGAACCACGCGATCAACTCCAACAGTAAAACTTGTCTTGGGTATTCCTGTGATGCCTGCTGGTAGTACAGTATCACGAACGTCTGACGCAGCGGGATTCCCCAACACACCCATTCAGCCTTCCGCATCATCTATGTCCACAGAAGTTCATTCGAGATGGACACGAGGAAAGCTAGCTTCAACTCCAGCACTGGAGTTGAACTGCTGATGCACGAAGCGCATCCTTGTTTCCCCGAGTTCCTCGAACCCATCAGCAGAGAACACTTCCGCATGCATACACAAGATACCAATGCTATAACGCGGTCATTTTCTTATCGAGGTCTCCGGTGCGGGACGAGACACAGCGAGAATACAGACGAGAGACACACGTTTGAGGAAAGACTGAAGACGCGTCGTTATTGCGAACCAGTGCACTACATTTCCATCACGGACTGAATAAGTTAACATTTTAACGAACAGTGAAGTCTGTATAATCGTACAAAAATGCTCATCGATTCGCGAACCACGCTTGCACAAGTGTTCATCAGTGCGTATAATTGAACGTAGTGAGTGGGAAGAGGAACATTTCACGGCGTTTCTTCCCTTCAACATTTTCCGGGCCGGTGCGATCAATTTAAATTTGATCAGTTCAGAAAATTCCAAGATTACTCCTGTTCTGCTGCTCATTTCTCGTATTCTGAACAGACGATGGTGATCATGCATTCAGCTGAAGGTGTCGATAATGCTCGATTGATTCCGATAATGCTGAGAGACGCGTTTTCTAGGGCATCTAGGTGACCAGATTAAACGAAGGAAGACCGAATTGTAATATATTTGCTCTCAGCACAATCACACGGGATTTTCCGCGGATCCTACGAATATTTCCTCCTCGCATTACGTGTATCTTGTCTCACAGCACTTTATCCATATTTCCCAGATTTGAAGAATTGCACCCTTTTGCGTGGTGTTCAACACTGTTGACATGTTTACGCGCCTGAATTGAAACTAACTATTAAATGCACATGCATGTAGAGGTTTCTGAATCCCCCGAAGCAATAATTCGAAGAAACCAGAAGGCGGGAAGACACTCCACCTCATCAATTTACGACGCAGGACACATCAGTGAGCAAGAAAACGAAAAACTAACGATATAGACGAAGGCGGGACGAAGCCTTGGCATTCGGTCACTGCCACTGGACCAAGCTCTGGTGCGCATACAGCCCCAATATATACAAAGCTCTCGCAAACGGCATTCACCAGCAGGGTTGCCGAAAATTCAAACTTTATTACCGTGCCTTCTTTAGTTTTTCTAAACCCCGCGATATAGAAAGGACCTTGAGTTCGTTTGACGCAACGCTTCCAGGTGCGCGAGCATTGCCATAAAGCACTGAATGCGTAGTGAAGATTACGTGGTATGATGATTCACTGGTTCAGGAGGACACATTGAGAAACTTCCTGACAACTCTGCGTTCTCCAGGGTTCAAGATGATTGGCCATATATTGCGTCTCCCGCGGCAGCCACAGGTTTGTTTTCCCGCTCCTCGCCGGGGTTTTAACTCAGCACAAGCGCGCTACTCCGGGTTTCTTCTGAACTAAACTGTGGTGAATAGTGTGGAAAAAAGACTTCACATGAGCTTGGTTATTATCGCGGTGGCGTCGTTGCCCTCGATCATCGTCGCCGCAATTTACCCTGCAATCGTCTGTTTTGTGGATCATGAAGGCCAAGGTCGTTGCTCTTCATCGAAAAGTGTTGATTTGCACGGTGCCTGACTTTGTTAAACGTGGTGTCCGGCAATATATTAGTGTGTCGTTTCCTGTACGTGCGCCGCTCATTTTATGATAAGGTGTGTGGTTTATCCCTAGCTTGGATCGAGCAGATCCTTGATTTGTTCTTTTACTGGCGCGCTCAGTGATTTCCTTTTGGAAAGAAGGTGTCATTCTATTGCAATGCTGCCGAGCGCTGCTGGCTCTCGGTTGGTCATCATCCAACTGCTGATTGTGGTTGTCTGTTTCGACTGCAGCGACCAGCATTTGAGCAAGGAGTTGAAACGTGAGTTAATGTTTTTCGCTCATTTTGCTCGTTTTTCTGTAACCGCAGATGGACACTGCCCCTTTATGCTCAAAACTATGTATTCCCACCATGATGTTGCGGTATCGAGTGCTGGGATATTTTGTCGTCGTATTGGATCTTCGATTTAATGATGTAGAGAAAGTGCTGAAGACAAGGCAGAACGCTTTGTTATCAAGTCCTCTGTTAAGTACTCTGTTACGAGTTATTCAGTGCGTGTTCCAGGAATTCTGCCTTCCAAGGATTACAAATGCAAATGAGGTCAAGCAACAGCATTTTGATCAGTTATGTGATTTTTATAAAAGTTATAGGTGTTGGTATTTTTATAAAATACCTTTACCAGCAATACAAACCAGAATTTATATTTTGGATGTTTTGTATTCTGTGCTGGAAAGTAATGAAAATACTTGGTTTAAAGCTGGATGTTTATTGTTCATTAAACATTCACAATGCAGTAAAGATGCGCACAGTGAAAAATTGAACAATTCAAAAACAGTACCATAAAAAAACAATGCATATGTCTAACAGAACAAAAAAACAATGAAACATCATACAAATGAAAAAAATACATAAATAATAACATCCAAGATAAGCATCAATGAATGCAGAACATTCGAACATACAATTTTTCTGAAGAACAATATTTTTCATGCAACGGCTGGCTTTCAAATCAGAATTTTTATTATAAAGTGTGGAGCTATATTTTGGTTAGAATTGTCTTGAAAGAAGTTTCAGTGATCTGCCCATTGAATTAGTTGAATCCACGCATTTCCAGTCAGATAAATGGCTCATTCACGAAAGTGTGTGTCAGTATTATAGACAGAATTAGGGTCCCAATAATGAAAATTTGAGATGAAATTGTGAGCCTCCGAAGTCCAAACGTGTCCATACAAGTAATGTGAGTTGTAAATGAGATTTAGTCTTCCGGCCAAGCATTATTGAATGAGGTATACACTCACATCTGCAAAATGCCTATATGAGCTGAACATGTTTTAAAAATTTATAAAAGCATGCCTGCGGCATAGGAAAGGCGCAGACATGTTCAGACGATTCTCTAATGTAATGGACACATATTTGGTGATATCTCGGGATTTATATGTGAATCTGAGCAGTGCTCTTGTCGAAAATTTAGATGAGGGGTGTTTAGAAACACGAGATTTGCTAG